GGGCTTTGAGGTCCCTTCCAACCCAAACTATTCTGGGATTCCTGGAAAGAGCATGAAAGAATTATCACTGGCAGAGGGAATGCAATTCCCTATTACAATTATAATATGCTTAAGCAATTTATACATCTTAATCCTTAAGATACTTAAATACATAAGGTATTTAAATGTAAATTAAACCCTTAAGGTATGGATACATATTTATACATTCCAGGTATTTATAAATATTCCATCTGAAGCAATAACAACAACAATAATAATTTATTAGTCGAATTATTATAATTTAAATTAATAATGAATAATTGTTATTGTATTATTTTTACATGCATAATGAAAATATAATGTCCATATATAAATGATATAATGAATACGTTATATATATTTAAGGAATATATAAAATATATTATATAATATATGTCTATCATATATATGTCTATCATATATGATATATATTTATATTATATATTGTGTGTAATAAAAGTATATACTATATATATATAACAAAGCACATGTTTCAAGTATAATAAATGAATAAATAAAAGAAATAATTATTATTTTTATTATTGCCATCCTTTGTTTTGTCAGCAATAGCTTCAATTTACATTAAAGGGGTGAAGTCTGACAACTGCTGCATCTTATGCCCACAATCTACTGTGACAGAGGGGAAGATATAAACCACCACCCTCCCGCAATTAATTCCCCTAATTAAGATGGTAGCAGACAAGCATGCAAAGCAAACAGCCCTTTACCAGCCAGCTTTTCTGTCAGGTCTTGCTTGGCTTTCCCGTTGAGGAACTGGGCCTTTGTGCAGAAGGGCTGGAGGAGCAGAGAGGTGTCTGAAAGCAAAGAGCAAAACAGGGTTACAATCCCTAAATGGAAAACTCAACACAGTGTGGGAAAATGTAAATAAGAATCTTACTGATACCAACTTCAAAAATCACAGTGATAGATTTAAAGGTGTAAAAGCATAAAACCATATTATTAATAGAATCATTGGAAGGGCCTCAAAGCCCACCCAGTGCCACCCCTGCCATGGGCAGGGACACCTTCCACCAGCCCAGGTTGCTCCAGCCTGGCCTTGGACACTTCCAGGGATCCAGGGGCAGCTTCTCTGGGCAACCTGTGCACCTTCACCACAAAAAACAGCAGCTCTGGAAAAATAACCAAACCACCTACTGACAAAATACAGGATGACCTGTGTGGCTTAAACCCAATGATTTGTTACACAGAGTAACAATCCTGTGAAACTCTTGGAAAGAGTAACACCTTCAAATTAGAAGTTAATTAAATCACTTAAACCTCTTTGAAATTAAGGGAGAGTAAATTACTCACCTACGTGCTGACACAGAGCCTGGATAACATTTGTGGCAGCTGTGTAAATCCCTGGATTTTTGGAGTTGAGGTTGTTGTCTACTATGGCAGGAATTAACATGTTGATCACAGGTGACAAATTGTCCTTGAGCAGTGGAATCATCTTGTGCAT